CTCTTCCCAACGTACATTGTCAGGCAGTGCTGTTTCCAGCAGAAGTTTGTTGCAGCACCAAATATACTCCTGTTTTGTTCTGTGGAGCTCTGGAAGGAATTCTGCCTCTGGAAAAACTTCTAGAAGTGTGTGCCTTTGTGTGGTATACTGGGTCCCACAAGGAGTTGGAAGATGCCAGGACTGAGCCCAGGGTGCCAAGTGGTTGTCAATGCTGGGCTCTAGGCAATGGGGACAACATCAGGATTGTTCCAGCATGTTACATGCTGGATGTTAGAATAAAAACCCTGCCCTTACAAGCTTTGATAATTTACTATAATTCATTTTCTCCACCCCATAGAAAAAAGCAAACTACTGTTCAGGCGCAATAATGTACTAGTGCAGTCACCAGGTGGCACTGTTATATACAAACATCTTACAGTTATTAGTGTGCAGGTTTATTGCATGATTTTTGCTCTGAAATATTGCAGGATTTTTTGCAGCTGCTATGGAGAAGACGAGATAATGGTGATTGAGGGTCTTCCTTGAATTTTTGCTGCATTCTGTAGTGTTTTTAAACCAAAAAGGTCAGTTTTCCTCTAATAAAATTAGAGGGCCTAACAGCAGTGGCGTGATGCCACTAACTGCAGCAAGGTTTGTTGAATTTGAAAATAGGCCTGGGACTAAATTTGTCTGCATCAATGAAAGCCAGAGGTAGAAGAAAGCTCAACAATTTGCAAGCTGGATCGAGTCATGCACAGACACAATGAAACCATATTATCAATGACACCTGGCATTTTAGAGAAGAGAAAGGCCTTTTCTACAATAGCATTTAAAAGCTTTATTGGGAAAATGTTAAAATTAGAATCTTTACAAGGTTTGGTATTTAACAAATATAAAACTCGCTCCAGTGAGAACCAGGTCCTGTGATTTGGAAATTTTTGTTAGTTGTTTAAAGAAGGCCTTGTCCACCTCTTCCCCTTCTTTTGGTGGCTTATAGCAGAGCACCCTTCTGATCTCCCCTCTGACCTTTACCCAGAAGCTTTCAACAGGACATTGACTGCTGTGGTTCCCCTGCTTTGCCTGTGGAAGGTTTGGGTGTTAGGTCTACGTTGTGTCAGGGTTGAAAGTAGTTTTACATAGAGTTTAGATTATGGATTGTATGGGATGGTTTGGATAGGGATGATCCTGCCGGAGGCAGGGCACTGGATTAGATGACCTCTGGAAATCACTTCCAGCCCTACTTCTCTATGATGCTATGAACAAGCCTACCTCCTACATCATACTGCACCTCAGAACATGTACATCTCCTTTGTATGTAGGGCAACACCTCCTCCTTCCCCGCCTAGTTTCTGCTACAGAAGGGGTGAGCTGCCCTACTAAGAAGACTGTGAGAAGAAAAGCCCCTCAACCCATTTCTTGCTCCCAGAACCAGCTAGTACTCCTGCCCTAAGGCAGATCAGAGTTGGTGTCCCTTGAGGTAAAAGGCCCCGGCCCCACTCTCCACTCCTTGCCCCCCTTCGTATTCTCCTCTCAGGCATCTCTTCCACCCTCCTTGGTATTGCTGTTCTCCTCCCCTACAAAATAGAGCCAGGGTGATCCCTATGGACCAGCTATTTCCAGCTTTTTGGCAGTGAAGGGGAGGGGTGAGGTCATGGTTACAGAGGGAGCTGTCAGTGGGCTGTGATTGGAAAGAGAGGCTACCCCACAGATTCAGACTCTGTGGGTCACCATGTGCCTAAATGGACCATTGGTCCTAAAAAGAGCCAAACTAAAGAAATCAGGATCCTGGGAGCTCACCAGGGCTGCTGCACTCACTTGGGTCCTCTAAATCCCAAATGGCATCAGGGCCCCCATGTTAGCCAGCTCACAACAGAGCTGTGAGGCTGGTATGGCAGATCTTTGCACAAGAAGAAATAGTCCTTACTTCAGCCCTACAGGCTCCCTCTATCAGAGGAAATAACCTGGAACTCTCTCCACAGGGCCAGCCAAGAAACTTGCAAGGTACAAACAACAAGAATGGCAGTATTTCATAAAGGAGCTTTGTTACAATGGGACCCTCATGCATTGAGATTTGTTACATTAGCATGTCTTTATACCACCTATATTGACAGATAACAACAATCACATTAGCAGTCATTGCTTAAGTGTTATCATTAAACAATCACTATATTGTATATTTCCTTTACCATCCAGTTGTTGGTGTTATTCAACATGAATTATATTGCTAGGAGCAGGACTGGGAGCTGGGAGAGATGGTGGACAAGCAAGGTGTGGGCTTGGGGAAAAAAAGCATTTGCCCCAGAAGCTTTGTCTGCTGCCTCTTTTAACTCTGTAGCTAGTCCAGTAAAAGCTCTTGCCATGTAAATCCTTGGGTCATCCCAACTATAGCACCACTGCAACCCACATCTTAATGCTCACGTATGTTTATACCTCAAAAAACCTGCACCAGCTAGAGCTCTTCCTCAGTACTGCAATCAGGATGGGATGAGCTATTCATTTCACTCCTCCTTGTGTCAGTCAGCCCCTGGGACCCCAGTCTACTATGGGGATGTCCCTTTGCTCCGCAGGGTCACTTCCCCACAGTCAACCTTGAACTGTTGGGATTTTCACACAAGTTGAGGTCAGCCACACTCCAGGATCAATCAATTTATGGGTCAGAGGCTGCTCTCTGGTTCTGACCTCATCTCAAAGAGTATTTGGAAGCACTTTCATAAATTACAACCTAATTTCATGGCTCTTCTTCCCAGCCCACAATTCCTGGTCCCATCTTTTCTCCAGGACTCAGCCAAGGTTTGCCCTTGCCTCTGTCTCCTCTGAAGTAGACCATGCCCAAATCTATTTAGGCATCATCTTTGCCGCCTTCATAGCTGGGGTGCCATCAGCAGTCCTGCATGTTGTGGAATACAGCCAGTTGCCAGCAGTGGGGCAGTCTTCTCTCAGCTGTGGCAAGGAGGCAGGAGACCAGATTACTTGGGCTACAAATGCCAGGGTCAACCTGGGTTAAGTGGACTTAATAGGCATCATTTTGCACTGATGCCACCAGTGCCAAATGAGCTAAAGCAAGGTGGTCTTGGAGAGGGAGAAGTGGTTAGAGTAGGACGGCTAGGTGCCAGGATTTCTGGGTTCTGCCCCCAGCTGTGAGAGGGGAGTAGAGTTGCAGCAGGGGGGTTAGGGGTTTGGAATTAGAGCAAGGGAGTTGGGAGAGCAAGAGTGTAGACTGAGGGACAGAAGGCCCCAAGAAGTCATAGCCCTAGAGGCCATGCCCTGTCCCCTCTTCCAGCTCTCTCTGTGCACAGTGAGGGCTGGGGCTGGACCAAAGGCAGCTTTAAGAGGCATGTGGTAACCAGTGGGGTTCACAACAGTATAATTCCCTCCTTGACAGCCCTCTCCTCCATAGCTAGCTGTCATTCCAAAGGGACCCCGCCACTGAAAGGAGGTAGCTGGTGGGCAGGTTGGGATGCTGATGCAGGAGGTACACTGGGCATGCTGGTTATGAAAGGACATCTGGTCAGGGTTCTCGCTCTCTACCTCATTACGGACAATGCAGACAGCAATGTCTTTACCACATGAGGAGCTTCAGCTTATCCCTGTGATAAGCCTTTGGTGACAACATGCACTAGACACTTTGGCTCGCCTACCTTTGGGAGGGAACTTTCTCCAGCAACCTGTCTGCAAGAGATGATGGCAGATATAATGCTTTCCTAAGAAGCAAGGTTCATCCAGCCACGTGCCATTTTAGCCTAGATGTCAGCTTGTTTCTATGGAGGTAGCAGTCAGAAAACAACACACCTTCACTCCAGAGGGAGAAGGTTGGCTCTGTAGTCTCCCTGAAAGTCAGTGGAAGCACTCACTGGATTGACCAAATGAGAGAGGTGTTTCAAATGAGAACCCCTATCTGCTTATCTTCTCACACTGCTCATCTCCTCACAGTGCTGGCAGTGTCATTCAAAGGATTTCCAGGACTCTGGTTGGGAATCATTGCCTTATCAATCAGACAAAATCCTGTAATTGTTCCTGTGTTGTTCTCCTATGATGGCAGAGGCCTAGTTTTGTGATCCTTTGGGAAGAAGAGCAAGTTCAAAACTTGTTTTCCAGGAAACCTTTCTGGGGCAGAAATAATTCACTGTCCAAAAGCAAGCATAGGTCCCCAACAGCCCCACCCTTGTAGCATTTTTTCAGTCTAGCAAGGCAAATGATCCTGAGATAGTAATAAAAAATTGATTTGCTTGTGCAATTGATGTTTGTAGTGGATGAGGTGTTTTAGACCTACTGGGTGGCTGACCAAACTGGTTAAGGTCTACATTCATCAGGTACCCTCAGCTTTAGCTCTCCAGCATGATGATGTGCTCTGTGTGCAATAGTAGTTTATAGACTATCCAAGTGAAATTAAAGCCCCATTAAGTTCAGTTCTGTACAAAGGAGACTTCCTGTTTTCGTTCTTCCTCCGCTGAATTTCCAATTTGAAGGACAAGAGCAGAATTATTTTTCTCACTGAAATATATACAGGTCAGGTGTAAAACCTTTGTCCCCATTAATCATTTGTCAAAGCAGGGGTGGACTATTAACTCTTTGTGTTCTCTTTGAGGGGAGAGGCACCTGTGGCAGATGCTGCAAACCTGCAGCTGAAGAAGGGATAGAGGTCATTGTAGGCGCAGACGGAAGAGCAACTCCCTGTTGTAAATCATGGTGCTTCAGAGTTTCCTGTGTCTGGACAGAGAACTGGCTGCCTTTACACGACAGCTGGAATAGTGTCCCTTAGACAATCCAATTGCACACATGCTGTAGACATCCTCCAATGACACACGCACGGTTGTCTTGTGAGCAAATCATTCTTGAGAGGAATACATTACACCTATTCTATACAACCCCCTGCAACAAGTGGACTATGAGCTACTATTTTGTGAATGAACTACTGTACTATTGTTTGACCACTCCTGAACTTGACTTTCATTGCAAGAGCAGAAATGTTGATGCCTCAGAGCTCAAAGAGATGACATGAGATACCAAACAAAATATTGCTTCATTTCTTTAATAAGCATTTTCTTTAAAAAGGCTAAATAATACCATCATTTTGAGATTGCAAGATTGTTGAATTGAAATAAAACAACTTTAAAAAGTTTCTTTAAAACTTCATCTTAAATACGACTGCCATGATTCTGTCTTTATTAAGAAAGCACTGATATACCAGTGTACTGTCCATGCAACATTAACATTTAAAACGTGCCCTTCTTACAAACAGAGCATTGAGAATCTAAGGTGTATTATGAAGAGGATAACGGGCCTATAAATCTCTCATTATCTTGCAAATTATTAGCAAGCAACCATTTTCCTAATCCAGTTTGAAACAACACTATGATGTAGAAACAGTGTTAGGGTGTTCTGTACAGCAATCATGTTTTTGTGCAATTCACAAATTCTTCTTATTATAAATTATTCATTGAGATTTGGCTTATTTAAACAAGTGTATGAATGGACAGGAACCATGTCTTCCTATACTTTCTCTGCAGCACCTCACAGATTTTAGGCATTATCAAAATCAGTGGTACATAACAAAGCAACTATCTAATTGTGGTGCATATCTAAGAAATAACCTTTCAATTATATTATCTTTAGTAGGTTCATTTTTCAATTAGCAGCACTAAGAACCAATACATTTTTGATAAAGGACAATTTTAAACAGTTTCAAATAGTCTAAGACAAGCCATTATCCTAGATATTGCACAGAATTTTCAAAAGCAACTCACGCTACTGAAATGACACACCAGTGACTTTCATTATGATGCACGCTGAATTATAAAGACATGTTCCAGACCACTTACACAGTATTTGTCACTCACATGCAATGATGCCCTTCTCTTGGTACTATATTTAAGTTTCCCATAATTCAGGCATACCAAAGCAAAAAGCCATTGGAAAGTGCTTAAAGACTATCAGAAGGCTGAAATGTGTTCTTTTGGCAGATCTTTGGTACTACTGAGCAGGACCAGCTGCAATGCAGTGTAACCTAATTTACTAAACTTGGGTTAGTCAGAGTGGAGTACAGTCTGTGGGCTGTACTTCATAAGCAACAAAGGACATTACCAGTTTAATACAGTTTATACCAAACCTATAAATTACAGCTGTTGCTAGGAGAGTAATACCCATCAGTTACATCTGTTGCAGTCTGTCTTTGAGTTTCATGCAGCAAAAAACAACCTGCTAAACCCACAAGTTGTTTAAAACATCAAGTTCTTTGTTGCAGGAAGGTTTTTGGCCACAAATGTAATGCACAGACAAGTATTCCTATCCACCAGTATCCCAAAATCCCCTTTTCTCCCTCTCTCCCCTCCAAGGAGAAACAAGTTGGCTTTCTGATAGCTTTCCCAGAAGCAAGATGTTAGGGCATGCTGCCCCCCTTCTGGACTTCTGGCCAATCATCTGATCAGTGGGACCAGCCAGGAGGTGGCTGTCTCCCAGACCTCTGGGCTGCCCCCTCCCCAATCCTATGGACTCGATAGTGGTGGTGGTGGGGGGGGTATTATAATTCTGCCAGGGCAGTGTGGTCAGCAGCCAGGGACCCCGACAATGCTGTTAGAGTGCTCTAGCCATGGAAGTCCAGGAACAGCCCTGGTCCTTGCGTGGATGGAGACAGTGCTGCGCTATAGCAGCATTCTGCATCTTAGGCTGCCTGGAAGCCCTTCAGAGCTCCAGGTGGGCAGGCAGACTGCAAGCAGTGAACACCACCACAGTGAAACTGCCTGCCAGCCAGGATCTTTAAAAGGTTTCCAGGTAGCCCGAGACTGGCTTGGGCTGGATGTTAGACTACCTTGGAGTCAGGAATTTTAAAAGGTCCACAGAGGGTGTGTCTACATGTGCTGATGCATACTGTGCGGTCAATTGCACAACTGTGGGGTTAATTTTGCCATTGCAGGTAGCAAATTAACTGCATACTAGTGACTGCGCAGTAGCCCACATGTAGGTGGCCAACCAGGAGCAAATTTGCTCCCAGTCAGCCTGGGCAGCAGGGGCTGGGACAACAATCCCTTCCCTTGACGGCTGCCTGCTGCCAGGGTGGGCTTCAAGCGTGGACCCCAAGCCGGAACAATGTCCCTCTGCCCCAACTCTGTGATCAGGGGCAGGGAGCAATCTCCTAGGTCCCGCTCTGATCACTGAGCTGTGGCTATGTGAGGGCACATAGCCCCGAAATTTGTGCACAGAGCAGGGGCAGATGCAGGCTGCCTGCTGTGGCCTCAGGGCTCCCTCCCTGCTGTCCTCGAGGCCAGCGCAGCCATCTCCTGTGTCCCTGGCATCATGGCAACATTCCACCATGCCGCCGGCTCCTGTTGGAACGCTTGTTCACACTCTGATTGGCTGTTGGTCAGCCAATCAGAGTGCGAATAAAGCATTACGGACAGACAGATAGACTTAGGCTTTTATAATATTAGAATGTACCTGGTCATAAGTCCAGGAAATCCAGACCTCCCATATTTTATCCCCAAGAGCTGAGCGGTTAGGACACTTACTTGGGAAGCAGCTGACCCAGGTTCTAGGCTCCCATTCACTCAGGTTGGATTTGTATCTATAAAAACCTTCTATTTTCTAGTACAGAACTCTAATCACCACACCATAGGTTAGGCATGATCTAGGCCAGTGGTCACCAACCACTTGACTCCGATTGACTGGTTGATCGTGGAGCCTCTGACAGTCGGTCTCAGTCTGTCAAAGTGTCCACGATCGGGAGCAGCAGGATGCACGTGGCTGGGCTTAGCCCCCCAGGCTAGGCTGGATGAGTGGGGTCAGAGCCTGGGCGGCTTTTCTGAGAGGTGGGGGGCAGGGCAGGGGGCGGTAGATTCTAAGGTGCCAAAAAGTAATCTTCACCATAGAAACTTTGGAGACCACTGATCTAGGCCCATCTCCAGCTTTCCTTTTGAAGCTGAGCCCTGCCCCTTACATTTTTAATAGTCATAGTATATAAAATGGTTGGAGAAATGCAGTGGGGAAATTCTTACCCCATTAAGATGAAAGCTGTAGGCACTGCTGCCCTTGCTCCAATCATCCATGACAAGACCGACTTTGACCTCCCTGGCCAAGAAACCCTCGTAGGCACAATCCAAGAAGGACCACACTGCAGAAGACTAATTCTTGAATGGTCACAGAGCTGTTTGTGTCCCAACTATACAACCATGGGCTACACCATCATGCCAGAAGCCTGAGGTGGCTTGTATTTTCAAAGCTCATTGAACAAGCTTTAGTTCAAGCACGTCTGTCACCATTTTTAAGCACAGACACTTTAATTACAGCGGCTCTCAGAACTGCTGCAATTAAAAGCACTGCCCCCTCTTCCCACTTCATCCCCAGAGCACATGTAAAATTGCCCCAGAGCTACAGGGTTGAACAAAAGAACAGAGATACACATTACTTCATATGAATCCACCTAAAATTTAAGAAAAAAATACTAAAAAAACTGACTACAAGAAGTACTAGCTACAAACTAGAATACTAGTCCGTTTAAGTGTGGGAGATAAAGTTTTCATCAGCATGAAATATACTGAGCACAGTATGTCATCCCAGAACTCAGAAAGCCGGACACTCCATCTTTACAATTTTTCCAGTACTTAGTATGTTCTCCGTGTTGTGTAATCTAGTACCAAGCTAGCAGCTCCCAGCAGAGCAGGATCTGCCAGATTTGAGACAACAACATCCACAGCCTGAGCAGAGGGCAAAGCCTGGTGACATATCACATCTTTGACGGTACTGATGTAATGGCTGGCTAGCACTCCTGAAAGGATCACAAGGGAGGGGTTCATGGTGTGCAGGATATTCACAACTCCCAGGCCTAGGGCTGTTCCAGCTGAGAAAACAACACAGGGAAAGAAATTACAGCAACATAGAAAATTAGGACTGGAAAGGACCTAAGGATGTCATCTAGTCCAACTACCTGCTCAAAGCAGAACCACCCCAATTATATCATCCCAGCCAAAGCTCAGTTCATCCGGGTCTTAAAAGCCTCTAAGCATCGAGATTCCAAAACCTCTCTGGCTAACCTGTTCCAGTGCTTTACCACCCTCCTAGTGAGGAAGTTTTTCCTAATATGTAACCTAAGCTTCCCTTGCTGCAACTTGAGACCATTGCTCCTTGTTCTGTCATCTGCCACCACTGACAGCAGTCCAGCTCCATCCTCTTTGGAACCCCCCTTCAGGTAGTTGAAGGCTGCTATTAAATCCTCCAACTGTTTTCTCTTCTCCAGACTAAATAAACCCAGTTCCCTCATCCTCTCCTCAGAAGTCACTTGCCCCAGCCCCTAGCCATTTTTGTTGCCCTCTGGCTGGATTCTCTCCAATTTATCCACCTCCTTTCGGGGGGGGGGGGGGAAACTGGACACAGGACTCCAGATGTGGTCTCACCAGTGCTGAATAGAGGTGAATAATCATTTGCCTTGCTCTACTGGCAACTTCTACTAATGCAGCCCAGTATGCCGTTAGCCTTCTTGGCAACAAGGGAACACTGCTGGCTCATATTCAACTTAACTGTCCACTGTAACCCCCAGGTCCTTTTCTGGAGAGCTGCTGCTTAGCCATACACAATGTCATGCAACAACCCGATTCCAAGTGGTTGAACTGATGTCTCTAAACTCTTAATAACATGGGTGCAAAAACTACATTCCATACAGCAGACATTCATGATTTGCTGGTCAGGGCTGTAGAACCACCTTGGAACGTATTCCTTTCCTCAAGGGAAAGTGGCTATATATAACAGTGAGATTACACATTACAATTAGACCATGTTGGCAGCACTTAAAACATGAATGATTGCACATTAAGGCTTGTTAACAAGTGTTTAGTGCTTTCTAGACATCTTAAAGTTATGCCACTGGGGGAAAGGATTATCTTTGAGCTGTGTTACCCGCTCAAGTTAAGTTAACTTCTGACTGTTCAACTGAGATAAAACCACCACTCTGCAGTCCTCCGGTATCCCAGGAAGCACTGCTCCCAGGTGGACTAGCTATTATCCAGGACTCTTTAGCTTTGAATTGATCACTCGGACAGCTGGGCAGCAGGTAAGTGGGGAGGGAAAGGAAAGAGGTGAAGGTGACGGGAGTGGGTGGGTGGGGAGCTGCTGATGTCTCTAGCCCCTAAATAACATGCCCCCCATCACTCCCCTGCCACTTGGATTGTGGCCCTGCTGCCCCAATCACCCCCGCTGATCACTCCTGGATCACTGTCCTTTTGCTTCGATCAGCCTGAGAGCAGATGATCCCCTCTCTGGTACCCTGCTCTCTGCCTGCCCCTGGGCTCCCAGAAGCCCACACCACCCCCCATACCCAGATGCAGCCCCAGCCAGGTCCCACAGCTGCCTAGCATATCCCTGCTTTACCCCTGCTCTCTCCCCCTGGGGCCTGGCAAGGGCTGGATCTGGGTGCACAGGGGTGGTGCAGGCTGCAAGGCATCTGGGAGGGGAATCCCTGCCCTCCCCCCTCCCCCTTACTGCTTCCACCATTCTTGGGCTGACTGGGTGGCACAGCAGGCATCTGGGGATTGAAGAGGGTGAGTGAGGAGGCCAATAGGGAGCCAGCGTTGGTGACTGGGGCAATCTAGGAGTGGAGGGGCTAATTGGGGAGCAATCTGGGAATAATGGTGGGGGGAGGAGGGGACAAACCATGGCTGCAGGGGGGGGTCCTTCCCCCCCCTGCCCCCAGTCCCCTAATGTGTGGGGCAAGGGGTGTGTGTGTGGGACATGGGGGACCCCAAGCAGCCCCTTGCAGGCTGGAACTCTGACAGCCTGCAAGGGAAAAACCATGGTTTCCCACATTTTTCTTCTTTAACGGAGAATCTATTTTTAAAGTTTGTTCATGACCCTTTCATATATTCTTGCGACCCACAGGTCAGAAAACACTGCTCCAGTGGCAGATCTGAGATATGTATGTTTGGGATGGTATTAACTTTTAATATACAACTGCTCACAGCACGTGTCAACAGCATGTGATAACTGTAATGTGTAATTTTATCCTAATAGTGAAAGTACTAAGGAGGTGACTTGTGTTAACCATTATTTTTTCTTCCAAGCATAAAAGAAAAAAATCAATTTTATAGCAGAATGCAGTTACATTATTAGTTAAAAAAAATAAAATAAAATAAAAAAAAAATCAACAAGTAATCTCATTCTTACTAGCAGGGAAAAAAGAAAGTTACTATTCTACCTCCCTTCCTAATATCAGCCATGTAAAAGGAAGCTGATTACACTTAGTACTAATTTATAACTCCCAGAAAAATTCTCCCTTGTAATATCATGTATAAAGTGGATAATTATTCTAGAGAGACTGGTTAATTTTGGTGACCTAGCATTTGTCCACTTAAGTTCCCATCATTTTCCACACCAATACTAAACTGTTGAAATGCCTTTTTTCCTCATGAAGCCAGAACTATTCTGATCATCATGAGAAGTTTTAATTTTCTAGTCCCCTGGAGAAGGGAATCCCAAAAGACATATTGAATGGTCCAATGACAATGCAATTCAATTCATAATGTTTCACAACTCTTCCAACATTCATCTTTACCAGATGGGTGTGTGTGTGTCCATATGCATGTGTGTATTTTACCAACAAGCAGATAAGACTAGATCCTCAACATATATTAAATAAGTCAAACCCTATTTAAGTCAAATATCACTTCTATATCCCCCAAAACCTCTCTCTCAAATGGTTTCTCACTCCAGGTCTACGTTCTTACCTGTTCTGAGGATATTGTCAGCCTTTGCATTCCCAAGTTTAGCTGCCTGAATGAGATGTACAGCACTAACAACCTCCTCTTTCTTCACAGTCATGCCTTCCACTAAGAGCAGATCCTCTGTTTGGGGTGGTAGACAAATAGGAAGCATTAATAACTACGCTGAAATAATGATGTGATGGGGGAGGGTATATATGTAGATAAGCAGCTCACTTTTAAGCTACTTAGGAAAACAGCAATCACTTCATATTGTTCAGTGGCTAGCAACAGAGCTAGTGTTTGCAAGAGTAGAAATGATATACCCCCGAGAAAGACCAACATCTAAGATGCTTAAAAAACATTTTTCCTGAGATATATCATTATCCAAAGTTCACAAGTAACTAGGACTTTTAAAATTTCACAGCAAATTATTTCATAGTATGCACCTGTCTGGGGAGAAAAATAAAGCAATCCCGAAGCTAGGGAAAGGATGTCAAGTTTATGCAGTTTCAAACAAATAAAGCATGTCTGAGGAGACTTCAGGGATAGCAGAGTTAGGCCAATACTGAGTACTTTTGAAAATCCCACCTCAGTCCTTTTTTATGTTTGAATTGTCATGCTTATGTTAAATCTAGGACCCATTTTTATCATGGTGAAAGCTGGAGGCTTATCAAAAGAAAGGCATGCCCAACAATCAGACTGAAAGCTCCTTCCCTGTGCTAATATAAATCTTTTGACTTATTCATTTATATTAAATAAAAAGGTAAAAAAATACATGCCATCGTGCAGTTTCTTAGCTTCTCTCTGCAAGGCTATTCCAGAGGCATATGCTTCTATACACCCATGACCCCCACATAGGCACTCTGGTCCATCTAAAGATACCACAATATGTCCAAGTTCTGCAGCACAGAAGGAACTTCCATGGATCAATTCATGTTGATGAATGATTCCACCTCCGATTCCTAGAAACATAAAGTTATGGACAGCAAAAAAGGACGGACACAGCACAAAACCTGAGCAGGACAGTTATATGTGCTTACCATAACAGGAAAGGAATTATTTGTGCCTGTATTACTGCTAGTCAACTGCTATATTGAGGCCTCATGAAGAATTTGTTATGGCAACTCTTCCCTATTTCAGAGCTCTCCAACAGTGCATGCAGCCTGTGAGAAACCAGCACGTAGCATGCGGGTGCATGCTCCCTGGGAGTGTTTAACATGTAGACCTGCAGATGCCTCTTCCATTGCCGCATGCGGGGGAAGGGCCATGTGCTATTGGCACAGCCTGCACAGTGGGGAGGGATCATGTGGGAGGCATCTGCAGACTGGTCTGTGCCATGTGTGGTCCCTGGCCAAACCAAAGTTGGACAGCCCTTTTCTATTTAGTGAGTTTGGGACAAATTTAATAGATTTCATAGACATTAGGGCTGGAAGGGACCTCGGAAGATCATCGAGTCCAGCCCCCTGCCTGAGGGGCAGGAAGTCAGCTGGGGTCATAGGATCCCAGCAAGATAAGCATCCAAATTTCTCTTGAAGGTGTTCAATGTAGGTGCTTGAACCATCTCCGGTGGCAGGCTGTTCCAGACCTTGGGGGCTCGGACAGTGAAGAAATTCTTCCTTATGTCCAGCCTGAAACGGTCTTGCAGGAGTTTATAATCATTCGACCTTGTCATCCCTCGGGGCGCTCTGGTGAACAATCGTTCCCCCACATCTTGGTGAACATCCCTGATAAACTTATAGGTGGCCATCAGATCACCCCTGAGCCTGCACTTTTCCAGGCTAAAGAGTCCCATAGCTCTCAGCCTGTCATTGTAAGATCTGTTTTCTTGACCTCTGATCATGTGCATGGCTCTCCTCAGGACTCTCTCAAGCTTCTCCACATCCTTTTTGAATTGTAGAGACCAAAACTGGATGCAGTACTCCAGCTGCGGCCTCACCAAGGCCAAGTACAAGGGGAGAATGACGTCCTGGGATTTGCTTGAGAAGCATCTATGGATGCAAGCCAGCGTTTTGCTCAC